CAGGGTCTGTTTTTCTTAGCCCCAGGCCCAGAAGGAGTCAGGTAAAGACTCAAAGCCTCCAGAGATCTGTAGTCTGATTGTTTTCAGCCTTGATTGGCCTTGGGCTATGGACCACAAGGTAGGGCCAGAGTTTTCCCAACAGTGTGTGGCAACTATTTTTCCCCTAGGCCAAAACCACCTGGAGAGCAAAGGTCTGTAGGAGAAAGATGTCTTCAGCAGCATGAGGGAATGACTCAGCACAGGAAACCAGGGTGGCTGCCCTCCAAGCTCCAACCCCAGAGCCCCCAACCCTGGACTCTCCTCACACAGCTCCAGTCCACTCTGCCTTCCCTCTAACAGAGCCCAAGGTGAGTGGCTACACACAAAATTTTGTGTGTTGGCTCTTTTAAGAGTGTGCCTGCATTTCCAGCTGTCTCTGGCTGGCAGATAGTAACCCTGCTGCTTTTCACAGCTTTCTCAGTTCTGGTGGTCTGGGCTGGGGAGCCCAGTTCTAGGTTTAGATCCCAGAGTTCTCAGTGGGAACCCCCCCACAGCTGAGATATCCCTACTGAACCTTCAACTGCTGCCTGTGGGAGCCCAGCCACCCCTTTCACATCTTTGCCCTTCCTACCAGTCTCTACTTTCTGTCCTTGGTTATCAGGGTTCTCTCCAGCAAGTCTTCAGTTGATTTTTCATGGTGTTTTTTCTGTATTTGAGTTGTAGTTCCAGTTTCATCTTTGGAGTGTCAGTGTAGCTTTCACTTACTCTGGTGCTGTTTTTAATAGAAATATTTCCATTTTAAAATATCCACAATCATGGCAGCTCTCTTGGGGAGGCGAGCATCTGGGAACCCAGGCTGGGCAGGCTGTGTCCAGCTGAAAATAATTTTGGTGCTTGGAGAAGGCAGGAAAGTGGTATAGAATATGGAGTGATTTTTTGGTTTTAAAATATTTTGAAAAATTATGTTACATTGTCTTTTAAATTATAAAATGTAATATTAAGCATATGACTTCCTTAAATTTATGTTTCAGTTTCGGGCTTGGAACCGCCTCAGTTTTATTCTTGCCTCTTTTTGTCTTTAGTGTTTTCCTGGAAGGTTCCAAGAAATCTACTGAACTGGCAATATAAAGGTCCCACCCCTTACTCCATCACTCTGGTGGTACATGTCCCATGACCGCTGATGTATGTGCCCACGACCCTGGGCCTGAGTGTGTTTGGGGGAAGAAGCTTGACAAAGAATTGAATTATTAATTTTTAAAATGCTGTCATGTAGCCTGCTCCAGGGAAAAAACCTGGGTGGGCGATGACATCAAGCTGACAACAGCGAGCCACTGGAACTCCAAAAAGCCCATCCCTGCAGCCTTAAGAAAGAGTGTTTTTGTGCTTGGGTATTGGATCAGGGCCATGTTTTTACTTTTCATGAATATTCTAGTCTTCGGCTTCCTCATTTCTTAGCTGCTTATTTCATTTTTCTGAGATAGTTTACTTGCCCAGTGACCCCAGGGCAGTCCCATATCTCAGTTCCAAGTGTATTTTCTTTCTTTTTTGTTAATCCTCACCCAAGGATATTTTTTCCATTGTTTTCTAAAGAGAGTGAAAGGGAGAGAGGTCAGAAAGGAGAGCAGAGGGAGGGGATGAGAAAGAGACAGACAGACATTGATGTGAGAGAGACACATTGATTAGTTGCTTTCTGCATGTGCTTGGACCAGGGGCAGGAATTAAACCTGCAACTCAGGTACCTGCTCTTGACTGGGAATCAAACCTGTGACCCTTTGGTGCATAGGCTGACACTCTAACCACTGAGCCATATCAGTCAGGGCCCAAGTGTGTTTTCATAGGAACTATACCAGGGGTCCTCAAACTTTTTAAACAGGGGGCCAGTTCACTGTCCCTCAGACCGTTGGAGGGCCGGACTATAGCTTAAAAAAAAACTATGAACAAATTCCTATGCACACTGCACATATCTTATTTTGAAGTAAAAAACCAAAACGGGAACAAATACAATATTTGTATTTGCATGTGGCCCGCGGGCCGTAGTTTGAGGACCCCTGAACTATAGGATGTTCTGCTCTGGGGCCTGCTGCTGGGATGGTCTGCTGTCCTCCCTATACATCTAGCCTGGGCTCTGCACCCCGCCAACTCTCAGTCTATTCCCCACAGTATAGCTAGAGCAGTGGTTTTCAACCTTCCTAATGCCGCGACCCTTTAATACAGTTCCTCATGTTGTGGTGACCCCCAACCATAAAACAATTTTCGTTGCTACCTCATAACTGTAATTTTGCTACTGTTATGAATTGTAATGTAAATATCTGATATGCAGGATGTATTTTCATTGTTACAAATTGAACATAATTAAAGCATAGTGATTAATCACAAAACAATATGTAATTATATATGTGTTTTCCGATGGTCTTAGGCAACCCCTGTGAAAGGGTCGTTCAATCCCCAAAGGGGTTGTGACCCACAGGTTGAGAACCGCTGAGCTAGAGCCATCCTTTAAAAACCTAGGTCAGCCCATGAGAGCCCCTGCTAAAGACTCCTAGGCACCTCCTCTGCTCCAGCCACACAGCCAGCTTGTTCCCAAGCACACTTCTCCTGGCCTTCACTTTTGCTGGTCCCCAGCCTGGAGGATTCCTCCCCAGATATCTGCCTGGTCTAGTTTTCCCATGGTTGGGGTTTCTCCTTAAATGTCAGAAGGGTTTTCTTGATCCTAAATCTAGAAGGCTGTCCTACCTCTCTCTCCCCTTTCCTCCTTTCCTGGGTTGATTTTTTCTCCACAGCGCCTGACACTGTATTTCTACTTGTTGATCTACTGTCTGTCTCCCCAGGTCTGTGAGAACAGACATTGCCTGTTCTGTTCACTGCTATCTCCCCACCCTTGCTCATGGTGTAGTAGAGGCACAATAAATATTGTTGACTGACCAAATTGACCCCATATCACTTGTGTTCTTTGGTGCTGAGATAACCTGTTACCACTTTGATGCCTCCGGAGCTTCTGTCACTCACCACCCCGTTTCAATGACTCCCAATAGACCCTGAGCCCATGCCTCTTTCCTGAATGGCACACTTAATTGCCTCCTCAAAGGCTCCGCTTGGGTGTCTAACAGGTGTCTCAAACTTAACATGCTCCAAATTAAACTTTTGGATGTTCCCCACTAACTTACTCTGCACAGCAGATGGTCAGTGGTGATTCTAGCTTTCCTGGCCAGAAAACTCGGGGTAATTCCTGATTTCTGTCTTCCTCTCAGACCTCACATGCAATCCCTCAGGAAGCCTGACCTTACACTGGGTCCAGAATCCAGCAGATTTTCCACACCCGCACTGCGACCAGAGCAGTCCCAGGCACCATCGCCCTCCCCTGCACGGCGGGGCAGCTTCCTCATTGGTCTCCCTGCTTTCACCCTTGCTTCCCCACAGACTAGCTTCACAGAGCCCTTGAAAACACAGGTCAGTCCAGAAGAGGCACATCTATAGACAGAAGGCAGATTAGTGTTGCCTAGAGCTGGGAGGTTAGGTGGAAGTGGGAGTGACTGCTAATGGGTACAGGGTTTTCCTTGGGGGATAAAATGCTCTAAAATTGATTGTGGTGATCCATGCACAACTTTGAATACACTAAAACCATTGAGTTGTTTTAAAAAACAAATAAGCATGATTTTTTAAACATTAAAATAGTCATGTCTTGTCCCTTCCCTGATCAGAACTCTCAGTGGCTCTCATTTCACTCTGAATTAAAGTCAAGGCCTTTTTGATGCCTACTAGGGTCTCCCTAACTTGGTCCCCATTACCTGCCTGACCTTTCCCTACATCCCCTTCTTTCTTCATTCAACTGGGGCCATGATGGCCCCCTGATGTTCCTAGAACCTGCTATGCTCATTCCCACCTCAGGGCCTTTGTTCTTGCTGTTCCCTCTGCCTGGAACGTTCTTCTACCACACATCCAAAGGGCTCACGCCTCACTTCCTTCAGGCTTTTACTCAAACCTCACCTTTCCAGGGAGGCCTTCCCTGACCATGCTACCTTATTTAATATCACCCCAATACTTCCTATTCCCCTCCCCTGACTTATTCCTTCCCCCTTTAGAACCTATTGTCATCTGACATTCCATGAATTTTATTTGCTTATCCTATTACTGACTGCCTCGCCACTAGAATGTAAGCTCCTTGAGGGTGGAAATTTTGTCTGTTTTGCCCCCAAGAGGATTTCAGGCACATAGAACAGGCCTGACACAAGCACTTTGAGTGTTTGTGGAATGACAATGATGGATGGGATGACCGGTGGCAGGACAGCAATCTGCAGGGAGCAGCCTGGGGCTGGAGCCTTCCAGCTTAATCCCCAGAGAAAACCCTTGGGTGGGCAAAGCCCTGCATTCACTTTGGGCCTGAATCATGGGAATCTTTAGCACCAGGAGCAGCTGCTAAAAAAGCAGGAGAGTGAATTGTATAGTATTTTCGAGCTTTAGTTCCTCATCTATAAAATGGGGGTTTTAGAGAACCTATCTCATAAGGCTGTTATGAGGAAGCAGCTAGAACAGTGCCAAGGACACAGTGCCAGGTCGTTCTGATTATGACTACCCAGGGTGTGAAAGAGAGGTTGTACAACGAGGAATAGGAAAAGGAGAGACAGAGGAACACAAGGAGTGTGTGGGGCAGGGAGGCAGAGTGGATTGCAAAGAGAGAGGAATCGCCCAGAAGAAGCAGCAGAAAGAGGCCAAGATGAGTATGGAAGGGAAGGGAGGGACCGGAGGTATAGATCTATCTTGGGGGCTACACAGGGAAGCCAGTGAAGGAGGAGGCAGGCAAGGGGGAGGGGAGGGGTAGGAGGGGAAGGTGGGAGTCCTTGAGAGCAGGAACAATGCCCTGTATGCCTCAGAATTCAAAGTTGTGCCCTCACAGGGCTTGGTGCACAGGAGGAGCTCAGAAGATGCTTACTGACCGTGAATGCCAGTAGGAGCCATGAAGCAATGCCTGTCCCCCCAGCCTCCTGGCTCTCACTCCCATGTGTGCTAGTGGTTGCCAAGGTTACCTGCTGAGCTGCTCCTGCAGTGCCTTCAGCTCCTTCTCCTGCTCCTTCAGCAGCTGCTCCTGGTGCCAGGCTTGCTCCTTGGTCTTCTGCAGCCTATGTCTGAGGGTCTGGAGGAGGAGAGGAAAGAAGAAAGGGAAAGGGAGCTGAAAAAGAGGGTCAGAGACCCCAGTCCCAAAATGACTTGACAGAGGACCCCATGAGACTTCAGACCATGTGAGACCACCCTTGGGTGGAAGGCAGGACTGGGGATAACACTGGGAGCTGTGATGCCTGGCTCTGCCCCTGGGTGAGCATGGAGCCACCATGTCTTCCTTCATTGAGGGGTGGAAGTTACAAAGCTTAAGGACCCAGAAGACTCTGGCCTTAGGAGGAGGCTGAAGGAAGGCTTATAAACAGTCTTGGGTGACCTCCAGAAGACCCAACTACAACAAGAGCAACTAGTTGAGGTCTGCAACAGTAGGATTTACATATTGGCAGGAAACCTGCTGAGAATGAGAGCTTTGAAACCTGAGAAAAACAACTGCCCTGGAGAGCTGTTGGAAAGGTATCTCAAATGCAAATGTCTTTAGGGGCAAGGTAGCAGTATTGATGAATAAAATGAGCCTGGCATGAGGCAATGGGTAGAGGTGGGGACTATGGTGAATTAAAGAATGCATAGCTTTCAAAAGACATCCTCAAATAACAATAATCCTAATCCTGTATGGGCTAATAAATATTGATCTGTGGGCTGGAATGATCCCCAGGCTACCATTGAAGACCTCTGTCTATGGGCCACTTTAGATTGGGGAGAACAGACAGGTACAGAGCTCAACTGCTCTCACCTTGACCACATCCTGCAAGGCCACCTCTGCTTGCTCCTCCTTCCTGGTCACACTGGTCACTCCTGTTTGCTCTTGTGGCTTCTCTGTGGTGGAGCCTTCCTTTGTTCCCAGGCCCTGAAGGACGCTGGGCTCCCCGAGAATGCTAGGCTCCTTGTTCTTCTGCCGGTTTGGTGACATGGAGCCCTCATTCATCCCTCTGGGGCTAGAGACCAACAGCCCCTGGTTGTGACCCCACTCTGCTTCTCTTTCATGAGTCCCCTCTGTTCTTTGACCCTCTGTACTCAGCAGGACCCCTCGGCCCTCACCCTCTATCCCTACCACCTCCTTCAGAGCCTGATTGGCCCTCTCCCTCGGCCCCTGGATGCTGGGTGTTGAGAGTTCCTGGCAGATCTCTGTCCGTGGGGCTCCCATCTCCTGGTCTTGCTGTAGCCCCTCCCCCTCTGGTTTCCACATGCTGTGGAGGGCCCTGAGGCTCCTGGGATCTTCTTTCTTATTTTCCAAAAAGGGAGAAAGATGCCTATGTTGCTGGGACATAGGGAGTCCAGCCAACCGGTCTTCCCCTGGTGCATCTTGCAGACAGCTGGCTTGGCTGGTGTGTGCCTCCTCTGGCTGGACTCCTTTGGGGCCTCCATTTACAGCTGAGATCTGCAGAGAAGCCCCAAACCCATCATCATCCTTCTCAGCACCAATTCACCAAGCTGGTGCATGGAAAAGGCCACAGCCCTGATGCAACAAGCTTGCTAAATATATGGATTCCCAGGCCCTCCCAACTGGAAATGCTATCCAACAGATTTGGGGGAGGGTCAGGAATCTGAATTGTTAACATCCGGTGATCTGATCTGAGGCCCCAGCTTTGACCTGATCAGGGAGCAGCAGCTCTTCTCTTCTCGATTTCCTTTCCTCCCTCACCGATAGCTCACACCCTTCTCCCTCCTTCATTTCTATCTTCTGCATGAATCTGGTTTCCCCTACGTTCTTCCCACCCCTCTCCTCTGATCTTTCCCTCCGAACTTGACTTCTTTATATTTTCTTGTCTGCAAAATGGGAATAATCATACCTGCCTTGTAGGGTTGTGATGAAAACTTAGATTGACCAATAGTCTGTTAAGAGTCACCTCTGCCAAGAAGCCTTCTCTGGACCCCACGTTCCCCTGTGCACACCCCTACGCTTCACATGTTATGTTGCAGCGTGTTCCTTTAGGGTCTGCCTCCCTGAACAGACCTGGAAATCCTTCAGGTCAGAGACTGAGTCCTCATAGTTTCTGGACCTGGTGCCTGGAAGCTGGTGGGGGTGCAAAGCGAGCTCGTGGAATGATAACTGCAAACTACTACTTACTGAGCATGTGGCAGGAGCCTTGCTCTGTGCTACACATGGTCTGTCTCAAGGCATCCTCACAATCGCCCTGCGAGCATGGCAACTAATTTGCTGGAGGACCGTGGTTAGTTAGGGCTGGAGCTGGGATTTGAACCAGGTGATCTGGCTCTTCTTCAACCGCTCCCTGAACTGAACTGAGACATTTGCAAATTTTCCAGAAGAGGTTGTTTCCCTGGACTGTTTCCTATAAGCTTCTGGTCACCCTCTCTAGCACCTCCCCCTCCCCTGGGCCCCACTGGCTTCTGCAGATGATGTCAGCCATTCCTTTCTCTCCCCGATATCCCCACCACTTAGGAATATGAGCCTTTGCTTCTGTGGGTCCCCAGTCCCCAGGTCCACACGTTGGCCTCTCTGTCTGTCTGTCCAGTTGGTACAGGGCTCAGTTACTGCTCAACCCGAGGGGTCCCAGCAGAGATGGAGAAGAGGCAGCTCAGAGTGAAGGTCAGGCAGAAGCACCTCCTTTGGGGAGTCTTTGGTTTTTCTGGGTCTTCCCTGGGTCCGGCTGGAATTAGAGCAGCGGGACCTGAAAGTAAAAGGGGCAGGGAGACCCTGGTCCTCTCTCCAGAAGTGGTCTTGGCTCTTGGATGCAGGATATTCTATCTTTCCCACCACCCATTCATCCCACCCCCCTTTCCACCTTCCTCCCCTCCCACCCTCGTGCACGCATTCCCCTCTTCATCCATCCCTGTGTCCCCACCCTCCACTTATCCACCATCCCACCACCCATTCATCCTTCTAACACTCTATCCCAGCCACCCAACAACTCTTTAGAGAGTATATTCTATGCAACATCATGGGGCATCATTAGGTTATCCTGAAGGCTAGGGAGGTGGAGATTCAGGGGCTCAGAAAGCAAGAAGGGAGGGAGAAATGGATGGTGCTAGAGGCTGAGGGCTTGGGGCTCGCTTGGGGTGGGTGGTAGCTGTGGCAGCAGGCATGAAAAGAAGCTTCCCTCCACGTGTACCCACTCACTCTGAGAACATGGGCCAGGCCCCATCCAGGTCCGACCTCTGCAGATCCAAGTCGAAGGCCACCCCGTTGAGAGCATAGAGGGAGTCCAGGATGTCCTCCTGGAGTTCAGGGCACAGCAGAGGGCTCCGGGGGCCATACCACTCCCTGTGTTCACAGTGATCAGCATCCTTGGCCTTTGGCCCTGGTACTATTGCCACCCCCAACCTCAGAGAATCCACCTCTGCTCTGTTGCATACCATAATGGCACAATTCCCCAGGCAGGGCTGTGGCCCTTGGGGAGTGAGGGGCCTAAGTATCATGATGAAGTGTCATTCATGACTGGGCTTCTAACCTCCCATCCGCTCTTTTTTCCTTGACTTTCCCCTCATCTCTCTCATTTGATATTAAACCATCCTTGTGGGGATGAAGGGGGAAGTTTCGTGAAGGAGGGACAGTGGGCTCAGGTACGAGCAGGAGCATGCCCCACCTGGTGAGCTCTGGGTTCAGGAGGCAGAGCTGCAGGCACTCGGCCAGCTGTCCGTGGGCAAGGCAGAAGCGGATGAAGGCACGGCCTTTTCCCAGAGGGGTCTTCAACTGCAGAGTACACAGGGGGCAAAGTGGGGTGGTGTTAGGCCAGGGGAACTCAGCCAGCACAGAGAGGGCATGGGTGGTTGATGAGAAAGGGTGTCATGGGAGGAAAGGGCAGCTGGAGGGGTGCTGAGAATAGCACTAATGAGAGTTGAGGACCAGCAAGGGGGTCTATGGCCAGTAGAGCTGGGATGGATAAGAGAAGGGCCTCTGGCAGGCCTATGTCCCCTGGCCCCCAAGTGATCCCCATCAAGGGCCTGGTGGCAGGACCCCATCATCCTGGGGCCAGCATGCCTGCCACTTGGCCCTGGGTACCTTGTCCTGTGAGTGAACAAAGAGGGCCAGCTCTGTGTTCCCCCGCTGCTGCCTTAGGGCAGTGCAGAGAAAATCCCAGTAATCCTTCTGAGGTCTCAGGAAGCTCTTCTGCTGTTTCTGGTCAAACTGGGAGCAAGAGGAGGGAAAGGAGTCATAGAAATGCTTTCTCCTAGAACCTACCCTGTGTCCCAGCATGCTGAGCGGTCACATGGCAGAGGGGCAAGGGCTTGTGAGACAGACCCAGCTCAGTGACTCTGCCCGTACTGGCTGTGTGGCCAGGAGTAAGCTGATGGACCTCTCTGAGACCTCAGTGTTTCCATTCACTCATTCCAGAAATGCTGAGGACTCACTATGTGCCAGACTTGTTCTAAGTCCAGGGGAGACCGCAATGAACAAACTGACCTCATGGGCTTATATCTTGGAAGGGGAGACAGAAAATGAACAAACTGAAAAAGTAAAAATATATACTGTTAGATAGTACTGACTGCTAAGGAGAAAAAATAAAGCAGAAAAAGTGAATAGGAATTGGGTGGTGTGTGCACGCATGTGTGTATGTGATGGTATGTATGTGTGGTGCATGTGGTATGTGTGTATTAAAAATTTAGATTAGGTGGTTAGAGAAAGCCTTTCTGAGGAGATACTATTCAAGTTGAAATCAGAAGGAAATAAAAAAAGTGTACCATCTAAAGTTGTGGGGGAAGAGCATTCCAGGCAGGTGAAATTGTACGTGCAAAGGCCCTGTGGTGCGTGCATTCCTGGTGTGCTTTAGAAGATCAAGGAGGCCAGTGTGACTAGAGGGCAGCAGATAGAGGGCAGGCTGGCAGGAGACTCACACATACCCATATCACATATACACAAACCTCACGCACTCACACCCATACCCGCCCCCACGCCACACACATACACACACACATAATCAGATAAGTAGGAAGAGTGTACATGTAATGTGGGAGATGGGCAGATCATGAATCACTTCAGGGGGTTAGAATGAGAAGTGCATAAGGTGGGCACGTAAAGGCTTAGCCTGGCACATAGTACATGCTCAGTAAAAGCTAGTGATAGTGATGACTGGGGCTCTAACCAGCAGCAAGGAGGGCCAGCTCTAGGACATCTGTGCCTCTGACACTGTAGTCTTCAGAGCAGGGTGGATGCCCCCAGCCCCTCCCTGCCCCAGCCCTGCCTCCCCACCCCTCCCAGGCTACATGAGTGAGGTTAGATGTCAGGAAGGTCTTGCTAACTGAGGGGGACAAGGTGGTGCATGGTAGCAAAGGAAGGGTGTCTCTTCCCTCAGTATCTGGGAAAGCCCTCCTGGTTATCTGAGCCTGGAGAGAGGGGAAGGGAGGAGACCCGAGGGGAGGACAGGGCAGGGCCCCACCTGCAGCAGCCGCTCCAGGCAGCCACAGAGTCCATGCAGCTCAGCGCTGGCGTCTGTCACCCGATGCCCACCCCCGTAGCCCTGGAGGATGGCAGAGACAGCAGCTGTGAGGAGGATGGTGGACATCAGGCATCAGGGAGTGAGGTCTCTGAGGGAGAGGCTCCCAAGACCCCTCACTTCTCTTTCAGTTCAGTCCCGGAAAATCTCTCGGGACTCACTTACCTTTCAGGTCCCTGGTGACCTTAAGGGCAGCCCCCTCTTCTGCCATGAATATTTGAAAATGATATGATTCCTGTGGCTCTGGAAGTTCACCCCGGAAGGAGCCTCTGGGTTCGGCTGTTTGATCCTCTCCTTACACGAAGGAAGAATCAGCCTAGAGAAGGAATTGGATGGCTCTAGGGCATTGATGGCGAACCTATGACACGCGTGTCAGAGGTGACACGCGAACTCATTTTTTTTGGTTGATTTTTCTTTGTTAAATGGTATTTAAATATATAAAATAAATATCAAAAATATAAATCTTTGTTTTACTATGGTTGCAAATATAAAAAAATTTCTATATGTGACACAGCACCAGAGTTAAGTTAGGGTTTTTCAAAATGCTGACACGTCAAGCTCAAAAGGTTTGCCATCACTGCTCTAGGGTCACAGTGAGTTAACTGGCAGAATAAAACCCCAGCTCTTTCTTGTAGGCCCATGTGGGAAGGTGATGGCATGGCCCTCACTTACAGAGCAGTTCCTAGTGCCTGACATCTTTGTCTCACTCAGTCCCCACAATAATCCTAGCAGGTTATCAACTCCATTTTAGATAAGGTGAAAAGGGGGCTCAGAGAGGGTCTTTCACCCAATGCCACAAAGCGCTAAGTTGTGAAAATAGAATTTGAACTCAGGCCTGTGTGCCCCCAGGGCCCGTGCTCCCAGCCCTGACTTGATGTGAGTGAGCCTGTTAGTGCTCATGCCATGTGGATGCTGGGCTGAGGGACCGTCACCCCTCTTCCCATGGGGAGCCTTACCAGAGAGTCATCATCCTTGAGACACATTCTCATCCTTTCCTGAGCCCCAGCTGAGCGGAAAATATGCGTTCTTTGAGGAGAGGGAGGCAGAAGTAAGGCAAGGCCTGAGGGCTGGGGCTGGGGTGTGGGGAGCAGGACACCTGGCTTTAATCCTGCTGCTCTCTCCCAGTTAAATATCAGCTTGCCCCCCTACCCCCAGTGGGTCCTGGAGCTCAGGGAGGAATATTGTGGCCCCTGAGGGCCAGTGGGCTTATTCTGAGAGCCTGGAGCAAAGACTGGGCATGGGGTAGGAATCCCAGGGGTCTTGCCTCCCAAGCTGTGGTTGGTTGCTGGAATTTGGGGGTGGCTGAGAGTGAAGAAGCAGTGAGGCACAGTGGAGAGGATAGGACGGGGAAAAGGAGAGTAAGGAGGGAGGGTGGGTGGGGGATGGCATTCAGGGAACACTGAGCTGGGAGTCAAGGGACATGGGTCTCCATCCTGGCCCTGGAATTCACTGTGACCTTGGGCACATCACACACCTTTCTTGGGCCTCAGTTTCCCCATATGTAGACCAGAGGTTTGGATTTAGGGTCTCTGAAGTCCCTTCCAGACCAGACTGATTATAAATCCATGAACACTTATATGCATCTTGTCCTGTCCCTCATACCCATCAAGATTCCTCAGCTTCTCCCTCCTGGCATCATTTCCCTCCTCCAGCCTCCCCCAGACCCCGGAGGCTATCTGTACTCACCTGGGAAGGCCTGGCTGGTGGAGGCACGGAGAGCGGGCGCTGCAGCCTGAGCCTGCCACTTGTGACTCTAGTTCCTCTACAGCTCTCAGAGTTTGCTGCTTGGGAGGGTGACTCAGGCCCACGCCAGCACTCGAGGGGAAACCCTGCTCCGAGGGGGAGGAGCAGAAGACTACGGGGAGAAGTGGAAATGGGGATGATTAGCTGGCCAAACACGGACTCATCCAGGGGTGGGGAGCAGCAACTGCCTTCCCTTCTCATCACGGCCACTTGCTTTGTCTTTCTTCCTCATCACCACCAGGTGGCGCAAAGAGGCTGGGATGCCGACCCCGCTGATCCTCTGCCAGTTTTTTACGGCCACTTGGTTGGAGTGTGATGCAGGTGGGGAGGGGAAGGCAAGAGCCCCACCACCTGTCTCTCTCCTCCTCCCTACCTCAGTCTCCCGACGGGTCCCCATCCTTCCAGTCCTGGTACTTAGCCCTAAAAGGAGGGAAGTGACCCCTGGTGAGGTGCTGTCTCCAGGAAAGGGCCAGGTGCGCTGCCCAGGTGGGCTGTGGCCCTTCCACCCTGGATGTGCTCTGCCTCCTTGAGTTCAGGTCTTCCCACCGCCTGGTCCTCGCTTTTCTAGGCTGGGGTGACCCAAGGGCTAGTGCTGGGGCCAGAGAACAGGGGAGCAGGCACCCGGGAGGATATTGTTCACAAACCCCAGGAAGCTCTCGTGAGCCCTGGGGCGCGCCTGGCCTGCTCTCGTGCGCCACTCCCGCCTGTCTCCCCCTCCTGGACCTGGTCGCCCGGTGTAGAAGCTCTGTCCCCCTCTTCCTGTCCCCCGCGTCCCTGTCTCCCCCTCATTATCTCTCCTTATCTGCTTCCCGCCTCTTCCCTCGCTATCTTTCTCGCCTTCCAGTACTCAGCGCGCCCGCGCCCCAGCCCCCGGGACCCGGCCACCGCCCCTCCCCGCGTCCCCGCCCTCGGGTCTCCCTCTGTCACTGGCTGCTCCCGGCGCCCGTGTCACCGCCCCTCGTCCGCCCCGGACTCCCCCGCTTCCAGGCGGTGCCGCCGAGAAGGCTCCGGGAGGGGACGGCTGGGGGCGTCGCCGCCCCCCTCCCACGTCGGAGGCGCCCTGGGCTGGGGGGTGGGCCAGCTCCCGGGGCGCCCGCGTCCCCGCTCGGCACAGGCCCGCGGGGCGCCCGGCCGGATGGGCTGCACTGTGAGCTTGGTGTGCTGCGAGGCGCTGGAGCCCGGGCCCCCCTGCGGCCCCCAACCCCCGGGGAGCCCCCCGGGAAGCCCCCCGGGACCGGCGCTGGGCCAATGCTGGGAGCCCGGGGGTTTGGTCCGCGCCGAGAGCAGGCGGCTCCTGCCTCAGGTAGGCACTGTGGCTATGAGTGGGGGGAGTGGGTGATGGGCAGAGCCTAGCTCACCTGAGACAGGTAAGGAGCCAAGCCAGGAAAGAGCCCGTCAGCTGTTGGGAGGTGGGCAGTAAGGGCAGGCTGCCCCAGGGGGGCGGGTTGGATTAGGACCAGGTGAAGGCACAGAGTTAGGTGAGGTCTCACCTGGATTGCTAGTGCCCTTGGGAGGAGGGTGAGGCAGCACCTGACCCTTAAAAGGGCAAATAGTTCAGGTGGGGCTTAGGAGCCCTCCGAGGGGGCAGGGCTGGGAGGCCTGGGGAAAGGCACTGAACCTGCTCATTTCCCCTGAGCTGGTCTGGGAGTCGCCTGGGTATCCTACCTGGGAGCTGTGGCTGCTGTCCCTGACTGGGGCTCTCTAGCCAGGAGGGAGGGGCCAACTGAGGCAGGGAGGACCCCACCGGAGCAAGACTGCCCTGAGGATGGTGGGGGCAGCTGGACCCTCACTCCTGCATTCTCTGTCTGGGTAAGTCCTGGAGCCTTGCGAGTGGGGAACTGACCCCGGGGGTGGTGACAGGCTGGTGTTTGTCCTGAAGGAGGCATCTGTCTGGGAAGCAGCAGGTGTGGTACAGGTGTGGGCACTAGGTTTCTCCCAGGAGGAGGAGAGGGAGATATTTGGGGTCACTAGGGACTGTATAACTTGCTCTAGGTTCCCGGCATGATCCTAGCCTACCTCCCTGTTTGGGGCTGTGAGAGCTGCAGTCTTCTAAGATTTGTTTGCTGTGCGGGGTTTGGATTATGGTGCTGCCTTGTATCTCTCCACTTGGGTACACAGCGTGTGGGGGACTCAAAATGTACCTGTGGCTACATCCCAGCTCCCTTCTCCCCCTTCACCGGGGCAGCCAGTGAAGCCAGGTGTGTGTGTGTGTGTGTGTGTGTGTGTGTACTTGTGTATGTGTGTGTGCTTGCATACACATGTCTCAAAGTGATCCCTCTGCCCCGCTTGCCTGGATGCCCCTCAGGGCACGAATTATGGCATATTCATGGTTGTACTCCGCAGTGCCAGGCATAAGGCTGTACTTATAAACAGAACTCTCTGTCCTTCCTAAGCGTTGGCCGGGTCATCGCCACGGTGACAGACCACGGTGAGGGACACGCCTGGGATGTAGCTGTTGCCTGAGCCCTTGCAGTGGCTGGAGGCCTGAGCCTAGCTTGGGGCCCAGGGGCAGGATGAGGCCGGGGGGGGCTGGCTGGGGGGCGTTGGCTGCTCCTCCCAGACTGCTGCTTCTCAGTCCTGGCAAAGGCGGAGGGTCCAGCCAGGGAAGGTGGCGTGGCAGAATCCCTGGCTTTCGGGTCCCTCCAGAGGTCATCCAGGCTCCTCTTCTTCCTTAGAGCCTCAAGTTTTCAGGGGGAAGGGATTTCACAGCCCCTCTTCCTTATCTGTCTCTGTCTTAGACCATTCTTTTTTAAAAATATATTTTTATTGATTTCAGAGAGGATGAGAGAGGGAGAGAGAGGGAGAGAGAGATGGAAACATCAATGATGAGGGAGAATCATTGATCAGCTGCCTCCTACACGCCCCACAGTGGGGATCGAGTCCACAACCGGGACATGTGCCCTTGACTGGAATCGAATCCGGGACCCTTACGGTCAGCAGGCTGAAACTCTATCCACTGAGCCAAACCAGCTAGAGCCCCAGACCTTTCTTGACTTTACTTTCTCTGTTGGTGGGTCTCCTAGATTCCCTGTCTCCCTACCTCTTCCACTCCCATGCAGCCAGCTGTGGGGGAGGTGCCAGGTGGGCTGAAGGACAGGCTGTCTGCTGAGATGGAGGAAGGAGCAGGGGGCACTGGAGGTGGGTAATCAAGGAGAGGGGAGATGGAGGGGGAGGGGAGTGTGTGTGGGTGTGTGACAGCCATAGGGACAAGGATGGGGACGAGTGTCTGTCTGCATTCAGATGAGCTGGTTTCTGAGCTGCCTCTTAAGAGAGCCTGGCTCTCACCCATGACTCATTCCCTTCTTTATCTGCAGGATTACACCCTCCATCCAGCCCCAGCCTGTGCCCACTGCCCCCTGGCTCTGGCTCCAGAGGTGGGGGCTGTTGCTGGCTGCTCTCTTCCTTGCCAGCCCCCCTTCACCTCCCATTCATCTTACAACTCTCAGGACACTTCAGTGACCTAGGAAAGAGGAACCAGGCGACCACCTCACTAGAGGAGGTGTTTTACCAAGTTCTTGTGGACTGTGGAGGATAAACATCTCTTGGGCGCTCAGCCCCCCTGGGAGTCAGGGCTTAGAAGCTACTCCGGCATCTGGGCTCCCAGCCAGGGCACGCCCACTGCCATCCTGCCATCAACATGCCACCATTCCTGCCACAGACCATTCCCCTCCTCCCATCCCCATTCCCCAGGCCAAGCTCCTCTCCTGGGGTCACAGGCTGTGCTCAAATCACCTGTCCCTACCCCCAGCCTTTCCCGTCTTCTCTCCCCTCTGGGCAGCCCCCCCCCCCCTGCCAGGCCCTACTGCCCTCTCCTCCTGCATGCTGCCCCCAGTCTTCCCCCTAAGCAGACTGTCCTGTGCACAGACCACACTGCCCTCTCTCTGCTTTCAGGCCCCATTGCCCACACCACTCCTGCCTGTCCTGAATCTGTGACCTGCTCCTCCTCTTTGCTCCCAAGCCCCTGAGCCCCTGCTCTGGATGATTGGAGCCTGGAGGTGTGGTTCTGCATCCCTCCGGTGGCCTCCTCTGGGTCCTATGATTGCCATACACACTGAGCCCTCCTCTGGCAACATATACCAGCCTGCCAGCCTCAGGAGAAGGGAAGGTGGGGCTTGGCATTCCTCCTAAGCATTCCCGCCAAACCTTCTCTGACCTGGGCGCCAAGGGGCCTGGAGGGCATCTCCAGGTGCCAGCCTCGCCTCCTCACTCTCTGCCGTGTCCCAATACAAGTGGGTGCTTGTTGGATGGTGGTGGGAGCAGAGGGCGGGAGACTCTAGGCTGCTTCTACCTTTTCTCTCCGAAAGCCAGTCCCTGGGGTCAGTTCATCTGGCCTCTGTCCAGTATCCCAGAGACCGGTTGAGTTAGGAGATCCCCAGGAGGCAGGTGCTGCAGCCTCCCCTGCCTGCTTGTTGTGGGGTCCTACACCCCTGATGGAAGTGCTGGGTCTAATCTAACGCCCTCTTCTTTGGTTGCATTCCTTCCTCTCTATAGCTCTATAAATCATAGACTCCCCAGCGCTGAAAAAGGATCTTGGTGAATCCTGTGAGGTCACAGATCTATTTGAGAATCTGATGAAAGCTATGGCTGTTCTTGCTCAGGAAATGCTCATGGACATGTTCACACATACACAGCCACTGTACAAACACACACACACACACACACACACACACACACACAATGTCATACATCCCCTTAAGCCTACCCATGGTCCAGATCCCTCCAACCCCTGCATGTCACAGTTGAGCACACTGAGGCCCAGAGGAGGGAAATGACTGGCCTGAGGTGACAGAATAAGTAACAGACCAGGACCACAACCTGACCCTGGACATGTGGGAGTTCTGTTTCCAGTGGCAACTTTTCCCTTCTCCAAATGCTACCTGTAAGACTGGACCTGCCATGCATTTATTCAACAAGCATTTATGTTTTGAGTTTTTGGGTATTTATTACCTTAGTTTTGAACTGACTTTATTTCATTGTAAGTTTATGTATTTTTAAAATGTTAATTTTATTGAGAGATAATTGACATGTAACATTGTATAAGTTTAAAGTGTAGGGCAAGTTGATTTGACACAGTTATATATTGCAATATGATTACCACAGTAGTATTAGCTAATAATTTTATCACGCCACATTATTCTTTCTTTTTTGTGGTGGGAACAAGTAAGATCTAGTCTCTGAGTCAACAAGCATTTTTGAGCGGCTGCTCTAAGCCAGGCACTGAGCTAGGAGCTGAGGATAGAGCAGGAAAGCAGACAGCCCTGTGCTTGCCTTCAGAGGGGGTGTTAATCCAGTGGGAGAGAGAGAACAAACTGTCAACAAGTGATTGCACAAAGACCGACATTATTGGAAACAGTCCTAGGGGGGGGAAGTAAAGGATGTCAAAGGAGATGCCAGCGGATCGGAATTAGATTGGGAGCTGCGGGAAGCGGCATTTCAGCAAGGAGCCCAAGTGCAAGTAGCAGTTAGTGAGGACAAGCATCCTCAGTAGTGGGGACAGCACGCTTGGAGGTCCTGAGGTGGAGAAGAGTTGGGAGCTCTTATGGCATCTGACAAAGGCTTCCTCTGGCAGTTCCCGGTTCCTCCTAAGCCCTGACATCCATGCGGTATGTGTACGGATTGGAAGGGGTGAGAGGCAAAGCAGGGCGACCCGGGGGAGGTGGTCACAGTCATGTGGTGAGCGATGATGATGGTTCAAGTTAGCGAGGTGGTGCACCATCAGGAGGGCTCGGTGTGGGGTGAGGCCAAGACTGATTTAGGGGGAGAAGGGACAGGACTTGGAGGTGGGGTGGGAGGGAGAGGTAAAAAGGATTCCCCTCATCTTACAAAGATGGTAGCTGATAAGGCTTCATCAGGCATCCCTCCATATGAGTTTACTGAAGTGTTTCATAACACAGGAAGTACATAAACTGAGTACAGCCATGTACCCAATGTACCCAGAGCTCTGTCAAGAAATAGAGCATTACCTACACCCAGAAGCCCCCTTCCTGTCCTCTTCCAGTCACTAATTCCCCTCTGACTTCTACCAGCAAAGATCTGCCTGTTGTATAGAACTTCCTATAAGTGGAGCACATTGTATGTATTATTTTGTGCCTGATTTCCTTTGCTCTACATTATGGTTGTGAATGCCGTCCATATACTTGTGTGGTGGTAGATCATCCCTTCTTATTGCTGGATAGTGGTCCATCATGTAATGATATACAATTCACTTGTCAATTCTGCCACTGACAGGCATTTGGGTTCTTTCTAGTCTGAGGCTTTTGCGGTAGCACTGCTATGAACCTCTTCGTGCATGTCTTTGGTGGC